AGCATTTCAGTGGTTTTTGAAATCGGCTGAAAATGGAAATAAGAATGCACAATTTAATATCGGAGTTTATTATGAAAATGGAATTGGAACAGTAAAAGACGAAAAAAATTCATTTCGTTGGTACTTAAAGTCCGCCGAAAATGGTAATACCGATGGACAATTTAAAGTTGGAAACTGCTACGAACATGGAATCGGAACAATTATAGATAAAGAAAAATCATTCCAGTGGTATTTGAAATCTTCCGAAGGGGGGAATACTGATAGTGAATCTAAATTATGGTTTTATTATTATAATGGAATTGGAACCTCCCGAGATGAAGAGAAAGCTTTTAAATTGTGTTTGGAATCAGCTAAAGATAAAAACAACAATAATGAGCTTTTTCTTGGAAATTGTTATAAAGATGGAGTTGGAACTGCCAAAGATAATGTGAGAGCATTTCAGTGGTTCTTGAAATCCGCTGAAAATGGAAATAATTTGGGACAATATGAACTTGGAAATTGCTATCAACATGGAATTGGAACCGATAAAGATACAAAAAAAGCAGCTCAATGGTATTTAAAATCTGCAGAAGGTGCGAATAGCTTGGGACAGTTTGCTATCGGAAAATGTTATATGAACGGAATTGGGATTGACGAGAACGAAGGAAAAGCATTCCAATGGTTCTTTAAATCAGCCGAAAGTGGGAATACTGATGGACAACTTTATGTTGGGTTTTGTTATCAAAATGAAATTGGAACTATAAAAGATGAAGAAAAGGCATTTCGGTGGTATTTAAAATCAGCTGAGGGGGGAAACATTGGCGGACAGTTTAACGTCGGATTTTGTTATTCTAACGGAGTTGGGGTTATAAGTGATAAAAGTAAAGCATTTCAGTGGTTTTTGAAATCAGCTGAAGGTGGAAATGTTGGTGGTCAATTTTGTGTTGGAAATTACTATATGAACGGAATTGGAACTACAAAAGATAAGGAAAATGCATTTCAATGGTTATTAAAATCAGCCGAAGGTGGAAATATTGATGCCCAATGCAAAGTCGGGATTTGTTATGGAGCTGGGATAGGAATATTAAAGAATGAAGAAAAGGCATTTCAATGGTTTTTAAAATCAGCCGAAGGTGGAAGTATAAATGGACAATTTTATGTTGGGTTTTGTTTCTCTAACGGGATTGGAATCATAAAGGATGAAGAAAAGGCATTTCAATGGTTCTTAAAATCAGCCGAAGGTGGAAGCCCTGATGGGCAATATAGGATTGGGGTTCATTATGAAAATACAAAGGAAATCATAAGAGAAGAAGAAGCGTTTCAATGGTTTTTAAAATCAGCTAACAGTGGAAATACCGACGGGCAAGTTAAAGTCGGATCGTGTTACATGCATGGAATTGGGACCATAAAAGATACTGAAAATGCATTTCGATGGTTTTTAGAATCCGCCGAAGGTGGAAATAATGTCGGTCAACTAAATGTCGGGAAATGTTATAGTATGGGAATCGGAACAATAGAAGATAAGGAAAAGGCATTTAAGTGGTTCCTAAAATCTGCAGAAGGTGACAATAGTTTAGGTCAATTTTTTGTTGGACATTGTTATCAAAACGGAAATGGGACCATTAAAGATGAAAAGAAAGCATTTCAATGGTATTTAAAGTCGGCTGAAAATGGAAATGAAAATGGACAGCTTGGCCTTGCGGAATGCTATCAAAGCGGAATCGGGGTCACAAAGGATGATGTGAAATCATTTCAATGGTACTTAAAATCTGCAGAATGTGAAAACAGTATTAGCCAATATAATGTTGGATATTCATACGATAAAGGAATCGGAGTCGCCCAAGATAATGAGAAAGCTTTTAAATGGTATTTTAAATCCGCCGAATGTGGATCTACTAAGGGCAAACTTCATGTCGGATTGTGTTATCAAAATGGAATCGGAACCATAAAAGATGAAGGGAAAGCATTTTGGTGGTACTTGAATGCAGCCAAAGATGGGAATGATATTGCACAATCTAAGCTTGCAGAATGTTATAAAAAGAGTATCGGAACCCTAATAAATGATGATGATGCATTTCAGTGGTATTTGAGATCTGCCGAAGGTGGAAATGCTATTGCACAGTATAATGTTGGAATAAACCATCAAGATGAAGAAGAAGCATCTGAATGGTACCTAAAATCGGCTAGTAAAAATACATGGATTCCATACTTACAATTTCAGAACATAGAGTATTTAGATCAAGGAGCTTTTGGTGTGATATTTAAGGCTGATTGGGTAAAAGAATCGGGAGAAAGCGTCAAAGTAGTTCTTAAGAGTCTTCGTAGCTCTAAAAATATCACAGCAGAATTCTTAAGAGAGGTAATTGTCATTACTATTTTGCCTAAATTTATACACTTAACATTAATTATTTGTGCAAATATTTGCGCTTAGATATTGCTTAATAAAAATAGGAATTTAATTATAAAATGCTTCGGCATCACCAAAGATCCTGAGAAAAACATCCACATGATGGTAATGGAATATGCCGAACATGGAAACTTATATAAATATCTACGTAATAATTTTAAAGAAATTACTTGGGAAGAAAAGATAGAAAAACTGCGTTCTATAGCAGCAGGGTAAATGCATTAATTAAATTGAAAATTTTTTGTGTTTATTCTCTAGCAGTTTTAATATTTTCTATTATATATATATACAGATTGGAACAACTTCACGATGACGAATTGATTCACTGTGACCTTCATTCCGGAAATATATTACTAGGGACTAACAAATCGATTCGAATATCGGATTTGGGTTCATGTGTTCAATTAGGTTCAACACTTGAAGCTACACATGGAGCTATTCCTTATATGGCACCAGAAATTTTAGACCATCATCCATTTACACGAGAATCTGACGTATACAGCTTTGGAATTTTGATGTGGGAGTTTACATCAGGTCACAGACCATTTGATAATAGAAATTGTGATAGTAACCTTGTGCTAGAAATAATAAAAGGATTGCGACCTAAAATCACAACGGACACGCCGAATCATTTTGCTGATTTAATGAATAGATGCTGGAGTAATAACTTGTCTGATAGGCCAAGCATGAAAAGTATTAGGCAACAATTCGATAGGTGGATTGGAAATGAAAATAAGGAGGATTTTATTTTAGCGGAAAAACGTCGAAAGTATTTAATAGAAAATTGCCAAATCCAAGAAGAAATGATCTTTACACATTCCGAAACAAGTATAAGTGTTGATTCAAAAGATTATGAAGAAGTATTATTATCAGGTATTTCAAAAATTTTTATTAGAAACGGATTTTTTCTCTTTATATAATAAACTGATGTCATAACTAATTTTAGATCAAACGTCTTCCTATGAAATAATTGAAGCTTTGTAAATAGTTTTAAAAGGATTACCTTCATATTTATTTAATAATATTACCAGCAATAACTAAGAATTACGAGACGCAGTGAATAATTTTTAAAATATTTGAATTTTTCATAAATTTTAATTTCCAAATATAAAAGATGTATGTATTTATAAAATCAATCATATATTATGGATCAACAAAAAGCTTTGCAGTTATAAATAAAAAAAAAAAATATTTTTTTCGGATTAAATTTTGTCCTCTAAAAGAGAAAAAAACAAATAGGTTTATTCAATAATCGATAAATCATAATGTGCATGATCATTAAATGCTAAAACATATAAATAGCAAAATGATAAAATCGACTTTATTTAATAATCATAATCATAACGTACAGTATATGATATTCTAATATAATATCAAATTAACAAAACTCTTAATATCGCCTTGATCCAACTGATTATTTTAATATATAGTAATACGTAGGTAAATGATATACTGTAACTGGGCAAACGGCGTGTTTGTCGCTAATAAGTGACAGGTTTTGCTTAACTGTCGATATTGGTGATTAATTGTTGAGCTAATCGGGTGAGGCGTTGGATTTGGACAAGGTGAATTTTTATTATAAAATGTAATATTATTACAGTCATTCTCCTTTTCCATAAATACTAATACTATTTATATCTTTTACAACAAAAACCAATAGAAAGAGAAAGAAATATTTTTAAAAAGTGAAGAATTCTAATAATTTTTTTCACTAATTACATCAATTTTACTTTCTTCTCCATCGCCGGTTTCACGATTTTTGTGGACAATCGTCGGTTACGCGACCTAAATCGCGTTATCCGTTTCCTTCATCCTCTTCAATATGTACTACAGTGATCAGTCCTTGGATTCTATTGTCGTAGTGAGATGAAGAGTGAGATGAAGAGTGAGATGAAGAGTGAGAAGCAGATATGTGACAAGATAACCCGTTACCCAATTATTGTGTAATAAAATATCTCATGCATTATTACAAAAGGATTCTTAATACTGCATTCTTGAAGATTTTGATTAAACATTATTAATATGCGAGACTTGTATATTGAAATGATATTTTTTAGGCATGTGAACCTTTGGGATTTCTGTTGAGTACATAGGTCAACGAAGAGAAATAATATAGAATTTGTGATCTCTAGAGGTGTGACACAATTAAAAGCTGTGGTAATATCAACGGAAATTGATTCAGATTCGCGATATGCAAGGAGAAATATTAAAAGTACTACTGTATGCAGTACAGTACACGGTATACGTACTATGAATGATTTAACCAATTATGGAAGTACAGCATACTATTCAAATTCCTACACTGATCGTGAATGAAAATTGTAACTAGCACACGTTTGTACTTAATATTGATATAGTATATTGTAATATACTGTATACGTATGCGCAACAATTAAAAGATTCTTGATTTCATTAGGATCATGTGGATTTATGCTCGATGTTCGTTATCCTTTTATAAACTTGGTGATTAGAGACTTCTGAGGGAAGAAAATTGAATCTTAATTAGTACAGAAGCCACTAATTTTTTCTGGCATCACAGTTATAGTTGAATTGTAGACAATCACTCATCAGAAGCTATCCTTGACCAAAAGTAAACAAATTTTTACCTGGCACAATGCTTAAAAAATTAAAAAGGTAATTTCAATTAGCACATGTGTATCGTTTAATAATTTTTAAATAATCCTTTACTGATATTTTAAATAAGTTTTTCCAGAGCAAAAAACAAAAACAAAAATATTACGGGTAAAATACCAAGCGAACTTGATATTCAGTCTCAAGGTGGTCGATCATGGAAGGCTTTTATGAAAAAAGATGATGCAAATACATTTGAAGCCCGTGGCGAAACTTCTCGATGGATGAAAAAACATGACAAATCACTTAGAGATTTAAATGGATCCCTGAAAATTGTGCCGAATAATGCAGACACGCTGAGATGCCGTGGAGAAACATATCTAAGCATGAAAATGTACGAAGACTCACTTGCTGATTTAAATAAATCCTTGGAGATTGAACCAAATAATGCAGATACACTAAGAGTTCGCGGACTGGCATATCAGACGTTGAAAAAATATAAAGAATCACTTGAAGATTTGAACAGATCATTAGAAATTGAAAAAAATGTGGATACATTAAGAATTCGCGGAGAAACTTATCAAAAAATGAAGAGATACGAATGTTCACTGAGAGATTTAAATAATGCCATAGAGATCGAACCCAATAATGTAGACACATTAAAAGTTCGTGGTGTGACTTACCAAATGATGAAAGAATACGAAAGATCACTTACGGACCTAAACAAGTCATTGGAAATTGAACCAAGCAATACTAGTACACTGAAGACCCGTGGATTGACTTATCAAATGATGGGGAAATATAACGAATCTCTTGCAGATTTAAACAGAGCCATAGAGATTGAACAAAGTAATATGAACACACCGGAACCTCACGGTAATATCAATTATTAAAATATTGTTTGATACTTGTAAAATGTTCAATCTGTAACGCTACATTTTTTATCCAGCATCCCGTGACGTCCACACTTCTACTGAGAAATTTGTGAATCCAACATTTATTGGAGATATTTCTTCAAACCACAAGTCCTCTTCGTGCCCTACCGTTAATACTACCGAAGCTTTTACTGAGAATGCCCCTGTTTCTCCGCTCGCTTTTGAAAACGAACTTTTTCCTTTAATCACCATAACTAATTTTTCTGAATATCGACAATTTATTGCTTCATCGAAACTGGTATGAAACTGATACAAATTTTTATGATTAGACGAAATTATTGACCAATCAATTCCAATCTAGGCGATTGTTCAATTTTACGCGAAATGGTGTGGCCTGAGTAAAATTATTATGTCCCTCTTTAACGACCTGAGCGCAGAATATAAACAACACGCAAATTTTGCAAAGGTATATCTGAGTAACTTTACGATAAAATAACGGTAGATATGCTTACTACAATTTTCGTAATTCATCAGGTCGATGTGGATCAAGCAGAAGACCTTGCTAATGATGCTCAGCTAAAATATATGTAAGTTTGGATCATTTTACATTATAAGTAAAGTGCCTCGTAGTTAGAATGATTTGGTAACATATCACAGCCCTACCTTTATATTCTTTAAAAATGGTCAAGAGATTGATAGGATCATTGACCAAAAAGGAGATAAGCTCGAAAAGCTTATTAAATTACACGTGTTCGAAACAACTGAAGACACATCTACGTAGGCACTCTTGAAATATCCATATGTATCGATAGATCTTTGTAGGTATTATGCGAATCAATTTGCCAAATTTTTTATAGTAGACTTCAGTTAATGAAGTTAAAGGCTAGTCTAAAAACATCATGATATTCGACTTACGTTTTTTTTTATCGATTTTTAAAAGTTTACTTGCTCGCATTTTTTGACACTTTTTTTTTAAAATTAGATAAATATTGATAATTTATTTAAATAACTTTATTTTAGCATATCAGTGTATGTTAATTGTTATAAAATATAAAAAATTTTAATTATTTCAATATACAGATTGTCTAAAAAGTTTTTGAACAAAATTTTTAATTTATATTTTCATTTGTAATTCAATAAATAATTAATAAAACAAATTTTATTAAAATTAATTGTTATATCAAAATAAAAAATTTTAAAAAAATCAATCTAATCGAATTATAATAAATAAATAAATAAATAAAATATTTATAATAATGTTAATTCATCAATCTGTAAAATAAAAAATGAAATTATTTTTATAATTTTTGATTAGTTCAATAATTTTTTTAAGAAAATTCTTATAACCAAAAATCATTTTTTCAATTATGATCTATATATAAGTTAGTATATAAAAATTTTTTAAAAATTTTTAAGCAAATTTGTTTTAGTTTAAAAATCTAATTTTAAGATAAATTTATTAAAAAAAAATTAAGAAAATTTTATATCAAATACACAAATAAATATTTATTTATTATATTTATCATAAAAAATATTTAATTATTCAAAAATAAAATAAAATCTAATATATTTTTAAAAAAAAATTTTAATTTTAATTAATAATTAATAAAATAAAATTTTTATTTCAAACAAAGAAATCATTATTATTTTGCTTTTTAAATCTTATAATCCAATTAATATAATAAGTTTATTAAATATTTTTATTTTATTTTATTTTTTATTTATTATTTTTTTTAAGATGAATATAGTATATGCAGGGTTTTTATTAATAAGTATCTTATATTAATTACAGCTATAATATTAGAACTTATACAAGTCAGTATATTATATATCCTATACAAATTATCTCCCAATAACAACTATCTTACTACCAATGCCCAAGGACCTATTGCCTTTAACAATTTCTTATTTGACATTAGATATAGACCTATAGGATATAAAAATTCTATTATTGGTTTAAACTATTTAACTTATATAGTTCAACTTTGTCTAGAGATAATTTAATTAAAGAGATTAGTTCAAGTATTTTTTAATCTTATTACCTAAATCTTAAATCACATATTCCTGATCTAAGGCTTCTATTAAAAAAATATAATTCTTCACACTATCTATAGCTAGTTGTTTTTCAAATTAATTAAGCTTTGCATCAAATTGAAATAACCTAGGCTAAAGCTCTAATCATTATTGAAAGAAGTGAAATGGTATTTAATTAAAATAGAATATAGCCCAGTCTGTATATTCAAATACAAGAGAAATTTTAATTAAGGAAATTGAATATATGTCTCTTAGTTTATTATATTGTTCAATCACTATAAGAATACTTCTAGCAATCATTATAACTCCATCCAGATGATTATCATGCTATGACACCTTTTTTGGGGATCACAATTTCAATGCCTACTGAATTAGCATATGAAACAGCTTTTTATAAAAAACAATATATAATATATTATGGTATCAGATATTATATAAGTTTTATTTTATATAAAAAACTCTCTTCTGATCATATCTGTTTTGTTAAAAATTTTTCTTTTATGGTAATTTTAAGCAATAAAAAATGTTTTACACTCTTTATTGCAAGTGAGCCCCAGCTCAAGAACTCAAGA